GGAAACTATCAGTGAGGAGAAAATTGTTTTATTGCATGCCATTGAAGAATGAACCCACACACAGAGAGAGTAACAATAGGAAACATACCTTTTCAAATGAGACAATGGCTTCTAGATCATTTAGAAAAGCATCTTGACTCTTCGTTGGGAAAATCTTCAATTGGTCACAATGAAGTATGTCTAATACTTTTAACTCTGGCCATTCTATTTCGTTTAGCACTGGATAGATGCATTTGATCTCTGGCAAATCCCTTAGCCGCAAGTCGGTTAAGCTAGGCAGTATATTTACCTTTGTAGTTGCGCCTTCTGCTGGAAACAAACTCTTGAGGCTCTTGCATTTAACAACATTCATTTCTTGTAGAGATTGGAAGCAAAGAATTTCTTGAGGGTCCTTATTCCAAACATGCTCTAGATTGGTTAGATGTTCTAAAGTCATTTTTTTCAACCGAAGGGAGATGGAGGAGAACATAGGTGCCACATCAAAGATTGCCTCTATAGAGTCACAATTTCGTACTTGTAGCTCTTCCAAGTTGCTTAGGAAGCCAGCCAAATTAAGAGTTATTACATATGTTAAAAATTGAACATCATCCACTATCAAAGTCTTCAGCCTTTTGAACCCTTCATTAGGGACTGCCAATACACCATGCCATATATCTTCAAGCTCAGGATGATCTCTAAGCATCAAATCTTGTACATCATATGCAAATTCTACAAGCTACTCTAGCAAAACAATTTATATTAGACTGTGTTATAAATAATTTGAAGATATTTTGGTTAAACTAGAATGAGGAGCTGTTTGGAATTTTTGTTGACTTTTATTTATTTTTAAAGATAATTATGTGATCAGTACAATTAGTCTACAAATTTTTACCAATATTATTGAACTAGACAAATAATTAAAAAAAGGAATTTTTTTAATATGAAATTGCAAAAAAGAGTATTTATTTTAGAGGACTAACAAAAAAGTTTGAGATGCATGGGGAATAATGTTTTCTGTAGGCACAACACTTTCAGAAAAAAGAAAAAATGTCTCATACCTTATTGAAGAGAAAGCTTGAATTTTTAAAAATTCATCCGAAAATACTGAAAAAATTCGTCTCTGACGACATTTAAACTTTTTTAAAAATATTACTCTCTCCATTTAATATTATAAAACACATTTTTAAAATAACATGTTAAGAACATAAAGGATTTTGGTCTCTCAGGATGAATTTAATAATTTTTAAAAAAATTACTCTTAATAAGGGGTATAATTAATAAGATTTTTTAATTGAGACACCCTATTAATTAAAGATAAACATGAAAAAATATAATTTTAAATAATATTAACTAATTTAAATGCATTAGTATCCATACTCTTGGCCTAAAGTAGTGGAAAAATTATCTGATTCTTGTGCCTTACACGGAAAATATATAAAAAGTTCAAGGCAGTCGGACAGATGCTTTCTTCTTTCTCTGATTAAAAGAAAAAAAACAAAGAGAGGAAATAATTCAAAATGAAAGAAAAGGCAATTTGAAACTTGAAAACCCAATAAAATAAGACGGTACAATAATTCATTGGCTTGTGAATGTAGCTAATTTTTTTTCTTTTTTGGAATAACAAGGCAAGCCTAAGCTTGGTCAGCACAAAATACAAAGTCTAGTTCATCACAACAGTGGCAGCTAACTCAGAGTAAAAAACAATAAGACATTCCATAGGGACCGTGAGCATAACATGCAAGCCAGAATTGCCATGATGAGCGATTCTGGCTAATTGATAAGCTACATTTACTACTTATGGTTTTTGAATAATAATAATTTTTTACAAGTTATATGTGCATGTGTGAGTTGAAGTAAATACATGTACTGGAAATGCAAAACCGAGTACATACCTGTGAGTGAAAAATCAACTCCACGGAGGCATTTAGATCCATGCCATCATAATATTCTGAATCAAAACTGTATCCGGGCTGCGCTGAGACTTGTAGATGCTCAGGTTCATTGATGGCTCCGCGAGAAAAAATTCTCATGCTAGGACATTGACGAATACTCACAAACTCCAAAGATGGCAAGTTCAACACTAACCTCCCACTGTGAAAGCTACATAGTCTTTGCAAATGGGTAAGAGACAATGTTTTGAGCTTTCTAAATGTTATCTCATCTCCATCAGACTCATCTCCTTTGGTCACTATTTCTTGGATTGAGTTACAACGGTCAATGGTCAGCTTTTCAAGTAAAGCTAAACCTTTTACTGTTGATGAGGATGTGAACAAATATATCAATCCACGACACCAAGAGACATTCAATTCCCTTAAATTTGAGAAAGATACTGAAGCTGGTATCAAGTTAATCATGCAGGGACATTTCTTCACGCTCAAGGTTTCTAGATTTTCACAAAGAAGAGGAACTGTCCAAGATTGTTCAAACCCAATGGATTTGAGCTTGGGCAAATTAAATAGTATCAAATCTTTTAAATGTGAAAATAGCATTCCACTGTTGTGATCTACATAAAGATCTTCAGAAGTGAAAATTTCTTTAAAATTACTCCAACCCACTTGAAGTTTTTCTAGATTAGGAAGTGATTTCCTTTAAAAAAATTCATATGGAAATTGATCTGAATCCTCATGAAAGGAAATCAATGTGAGAAATTTCACTCTTGGAGGGAAGTTTGCCCAAAATCGTGCTTGCCAATTAATCTTCATGATGTCTTCCTTGTTGAGTAACAATTGCTCCAGGTTGAGAGAAACCTATGATAATTAAATTCTTATTATTACAAATAACTAATAAGAGAACGGATTACACATATTTTTCTTTATCAATTCCCTAAAATATCTCCTCAAAAAGTATTTTAATTAAATAATCAAACACATCATGCTCAAGTGTTTCCAAAGGAACTGATTTTTGTTCAAGGTGACTAAAAATATTATAAATAAAAGACTAAAATGGCAAGTAAATGTTAATGAGGAGATTATTGTAAGGAACTTTGAATAATTAACATACAACAGAAAAATACCTTTTCAAATAATGAGATAGCTTCCACAGTAATTGGAAAATGATCTTGATCCTTTGTTGGGAAAACCTTCAATTGATCACAATGGCGTACTTCTAATTTTGTTAACTTTGGCAATTCCACATTGTTTAGTCCTTGATAGATGCACTTGAGCTCTGGCAATTCCTTAAGCCACAAGTTGGTTAAGCTAGGGAACATAATTAACTTTATTGTTGTGTCATCTAGGGTTGTTTTGCCTTCCTTTTCCAATGCCATTGGGAACAAGCTTCTTAGGCTTTTGCATTTGTTAACAACTATGACTTCTAGAGAGTGAAAGCTGAGAAATTCTTTAGGATCCTCATTCCAAACATGCTCTAGATTTGGTAGATTTCTCAAGATCAATGTTTTCAAGGAAAGAGACAAGGTTGGAGGTGTCAGTCCCATGTCAAATATTGTCATCACAAAATTACAGTTTATTACTTCTAACCTTGCCAAGTTGCTTAACATGGAAAGCAAATGAAAAGGGATCACATGTGACAAAAAATGGCAATGACGCACACTCCAGGACATCAACTTGTTGAAACTGAGAAATTCTTGAGGGTCCTCATTCCAAATATGCTTTAGATTAGGTAGATTTTTCAAGGACAAATTTTCCAAGGAAAGGGACACAGTTGAGGGCATGGGTCCGACGTCAAATATTGCCTTCACGGAATTACATTTTATTGCTCTTAACCATTTTAAGTTTCTTAGAAACTGAAGCAAATGGAGAGGAATCACATGTGACAAAAAATGGCAGCCTTCCACTCTCAACGACGTCAACATGCTGAAGCCTCCATTGAGGACTGGCATTGCACCAAGCCATATCTCTTGTAGCTTGGGATGATCTCCAAGCTCCAAATTTCTCCCATGGTAAACAGAATTTTGTGCCATCAATACAATTGACACATCAAACTTTTTTCAGAGTGTATATGATTTCTCTATAGCTATAATTTTTATCCTTATAATTGTAAAGGAAAATTAAAATAGGAGTGAAGTAATTATAAATTAGAACTAAAATTAGGAAAAACATAATCATCGGCCCCTATAGTTTTATTGGATTTTGTCTTTTGTCCCTATAGTTTTTTCCATAATGTTTTCAGTATCTAAAATTTCAGCAAGATTGGATGATGTTTTTTATTTAGGTCCCCAATATTTTAGTGTTTTTTTAGTGGTTTTAACTTTTAATCCTTATATAAGGATTGAAAATACTATAAAAAATATAGGGACTAAAAATAAAATTTGATAAATATAAGGATCATTGATTATGTTTACCCATTATTTTACTTAATGGTTAAATGAACATGATCCAATTACCCTCTAGTTTAAATTATCACTCTAGTTTAAATGAACATGATCTAATAACTATTGATCTGTTTCTCAATTGAAAGGTGCATGTGGCTCATAGATAAATTTTGATTAGTGATTTTTGTTTTCCTTTGGTAAATGAGACATAATAGAACAAAAAACGCTAGCTGTTGAAATCATGCTTTTCTTTTGCTAAAAATGGACCATGTTTTTCTTTCATATAATGTGTGAGTGTAATGGAAATAATATAGATATTTGATTTATAAAGCAATCATAAACATTAACAATGAAAGGAATACCAAACATATCAAATTTACTAGTCATTATTAGAAATCTATTTGAGAAAAAAGAATTCTTGTGTAAGTTCTAATAAAAAAGTTAATGAAAATTCTGCTCTTGTGTGCATGTAAACTATTTTATGATCTCTAATAATAGTGTAAGAAATTCTCTAAATAAAAGTGAAGGAAAAAATAATTGGAAAGGAATATATACAGAAACTTTAAAGTAATAAATTATTGTGCACCTTATCCATGAAAATCTTTTGAATTGTAGCATTTATATCATCTTCCCAGTACCAATTATCCCCCTTTTCTCCTTTAAAACTTACACTAACTTTTTTCAAGATGGTGTGCTTGTACTCTTATTAGAGAACTTTTTCAACTTAGCGCAATCTCTGACTATCACACTTTCAAGAGATGGAAACCTGAAGACAACACTGTTCATGGAATTGCAAAAACTAGTGAGAACTATTAGAGATACAAGTTCTAAAGTTTTTAATTTGACAAAAACAATCTCATCTTCTTTGTCTTCTTCATTCTCTTCCACTGTCACAAGTTCTTCCATCATTATACATTCATCAACCTTCATTGTGGTAAGTTGAACCAAGGATTTTGCAGTTGATGGTGCCATCAAATTTTTTAATCTTTTACAATAGCTAACTTCCAAATGTCTCGAGCAAGTGAATGATATAGAAGAAGGCAGTAATGTTATCACATGGCCAGATGCAAATAACTTCAGCAGCTCAGCCCTTTGAAGAATGGGGTCATTTTCAGTTCCTAAATTCAAAGGAAGATTTGAATAAAATAATCTCAATTCCTTTAGTTATACAATCATTCCAATTTTTTGAAGGGAAATATTGTTTCCTTTAGGCAGCACCTCTTTGACGGAAGAATTAGACAAATCTAGGATTTCTAGATTAGGACATCTATCAAGGAGCCGAAAGAGAATTTCAATATTGCTCAATTTTCTAAGCTGAAGTTTTTTTATATTCTGCATTTGATAAACATTATTGCCAATGGAGTTTCGCAACCACTTCATTTCTTTTGGACCCATTTCTAGTGCTTCCAACATGGATATCACCTAAAAATCATATTGAGAAAGTATAACTTTAGAAAAACATACAATGACATATAAGATATACTTGGTGTGGTTGTAAAGAGGTGTAATGGTTTGCAGAAAATCCTAAGTTCATACACATTCAATTTTGTAGAATCATGTATTATGAAAAGAACATGACACAAGTGTGTGTAAAGATGCATTAATTTTAGAAAAAAATGTATATAATTTAAGGGGTAATGTCAATTGTGTTGTTATTGTACCTTGAGTAAAGCGGAGAGAACTGGTTGCCCTTTTAAATGTGATGCTGTTTCCATGCTAAATGCTTCCAACTTTTCACAACATTATAGAGACCACAAAGTCAATACTTGGAACTCTATAGTGTGTGTTCCCTGATAGAAAGACTTTAGTTCTGGTAGATCTTTTAATAAAAGTGAGGTTAACTTATGAAACTTAAATATGAAGTTGCTTCTGTTTGATGCATCATCCTTGGCTACAATATCCTTAATTAGCTTACAATTTGATATGTTAAATATCTCTAGTTTTAGAAGATTAGTGGCAATGGAAAAAGGGAAGAGATACTCTAAGCTTGGGCATCCATAGATATGAACATCTTGTAGATTTTTGAAGCCAACAATTCCTTAAGGATTTTTATTCCAAACATGTTTCAATTTTCGTAGGGAGATTAAAGAGATAGATCGCAAGCATGTATCATTCCCATCACTTTTTTATGGAGTAGGCTGGAGGTCAAAAATCTCTTCGATTAATTTGCAACACCAAACATTCAATCTATCAAGATGAGGAAATCTTCCTACCATGTAAGGAGGGAAAATAGAGACAAGTTTGTCACAATGATTGATAAAAAAAGATTCTAGATTGCCAAAGGAATGTAGGGTAGCTTGGGGATGCCATATGGTTTTTAGCTCCTCCATGTTGGTAATTTCAAATTTCCTCAATTGTGAAAAGACATCAACCTCCTATGCATGGACCAAAGTTGTCATTTTGTAATCAAATTTATATAAGGAAAAAAGAAGAAGCAATACCCAGTTTTGTGTATAATAAATTCACATGTAATGTATACTTACCTTACTAATGTCTGTTGGGTTAAATATATCCTTCATGCTTCTACATCTTGTAACAATAAGGCTTTACAATTTCATCAAACTCCCAACCTTTAATAGTGAAAACAAATATTTTAAATTACCACCACAATTGTCAACCTTCAATTTTGTTAGATTTTGGAAGCAGGGACTTGGCAAAGGTTGGTCACCCCATACCTTCTCAATGTTGATTGAAGACAACTCCAAGCTCTCTATGTTGGAAAGTGAAATCTACAAGAACAAAAAAAAATATTGCAATCTCTAAAAGCACTAAAAATATAATTTACACAAATTAAATTTAATAAGATTAAACTTCCAAAATCCAAGCCATCTTCATTTACCTGAGTATATAATTTAAAATATAATTCCTAACATTTCATACCTTTGCATTAAAGAATGGAACCATCTTGTCATGAGCGTAGAAACAAGTTAATGCTGGTAAAGATTGCAACGTCAAAGAGCGCAATTGAGGCAACTCAATGCTATCTTCTTTTGCATTATTGCGAGTATTCTCTAGTCCTTCTATAGAAACAATATCCTCCAAAGAATCACATTGAGAAACTTCAATTATTTCAAGCTTTGCAAGAAGTCTAATAATGTAAAATGAGAAGAGATTTTTCAATCGAACACAAATTTTGATCTTGATGGTTTTTAAACTATGAAAAGAGGCATCTGTGAGTTGGCATATTTTCTCTATGCTTTCTAGTTTGTACAAATACATTGACTCCAAATTGGGAAAAGCTGATGCTTGATATTGCCACTCTGTTGAGTAGATTATATACTAGATTTCAAAGTTCTTCATAATGGTTAAATGTTTAAGACTTGGAAGTCCTTCCACACTTAACTCAAAGATAATATTTTGAAGACCATCTACTTCCCCTAAAATTAATTGGTCAATGCTTTTGAACAAATTTTTGATTGTTCTTAGAGAATTGATGTTATTGCCCTTTTTTAGTTGTAGTGTCAAAGCTCTTGTTGCCTCATACTTAGTAGGAATCTCTCCATCTTCCAACAAAATCATGTTGGAGTCTCCAATCACAATTTTGTAATTTTCTAATTTATCAAAGAACAAGCTTCGTGGCAAAGCTATGATATCCGGTATATGTATGTCCAAACTTCTCAATTGTTGAAGATAACTCAATTCATTAAGAGAAGCAATTTTATTATTGAATGTTTTCCCCTCAACACCCCATTGAATCAAGCTATTTCCCATATATAACTTCTCCAACCTATTCAACTTTGACATCACATTAGATGGAATCACTTTAAGTTGGGCACAATTACTAATGTCAAACAATTGTAGCTTATCCAACTGCCTTATTTCACTTAGTAAAAATTTAAACCAAGATTCTGAAAGACTAAGAATTCTTAAATTCCCTGACTCTCCAATGATAGACATGTTGTCACCCAGCATGCAGTACTCCAAACAAAGCATTCTAAGCTTTTGTAAGCACTTAATTGAAGAAGGAAAGTGTGATAGATCCATACCATTCAATATCAATACTTTCAATTCTCCCATTCTATCAAAAAGTTTTGTTGGTATTTTCAAGGAAGGATCTTTACATTCAAGATGGAAGACTTGGAGTCTAGGGCAATTCATCACTTTTGGAATCTCATCAATGAAATCACAATGGTGTAATAAGATAGAGATGTACCTTTCAAAGCTATTGTTGTCAAGCCAATGATCGAGTTTGCCATATCTTTGTATGAACACATTTTGCTCCTTAGATGCTATTGATAGGGCAGCATCACGAATCATATCATGCATAGTGACACAATCATAGGAGGTGGTATTCATCAACAAACTTGAGTCTTTTAACTTGTTGATCAAAGTATTTGTTCTATCTCGGGCTTCTTTTATTGAGTTGACTCCTTGAAATATGCCCAAGCCAATGCAATATTTTACTAAATCCATAATTGAAGGATGCCCACCCATACAAGCACAAAGTAAGAAAATAGACTTGAGCTCTTCAGTTTTCAATTGCTCATAACTTAACTTTGTAGAAAACTCCACAGGCTCTAGTACTCCATTCATTTCGATTTGTTGTAGTGCATTTTCCCATGCAAATTTGTGTTGATTTTTCTTTAAAGCCTTTCTAGCTGCAACTATTGCTAAGGGTAGGTCTGCACATTTCTTCACAATTTTAGCTGCTAATGATTTCAACTCTAAATCTTCATTAGTTATTCTAGCTACCTTGTCAAACAACTTCTTTAACTCTTTTTGCTTTATGACTTCCAAAGAGAAAATTGAATCCTTTACATTCATTTCGCTCAACAACACATCTTTGCTTCGAGAGGTCAACAAAATTTTGCAACTTTTGGAATCACTAGAGGACTTCCTTTCTCTCAATGAGTTGCTATCATCATCATCCTCAAACTGAATACCCAACATATTCAAGTCCAATCTAGCCCAAAGATCCTCAAAAATGAGGAGGGCATTCTCCTTCTCTTTCTTCAACCTTTATCGCAAACGACTTGCTCTTCCAATCTCACTTTCATCATCTAATCTCAACCCCAACATGTCTGCCATTTCTCCTTGAATCTTTCTTACATCAGGAGTGCTTGTTATATTTACCATAATCACAAGATTGAATAGCTTTTTTGCTTCAGCTTTCCTTGCAATTGCTTTAACTAAAGTGGTTTTGCCAACACCTCCCTGCCCATAGATACCAATCATTTTAGATTTGGGATCTCTCAGGGAATTCATAACCTCCTCCATAATAGCTTTTCTTGAGCTAAATGATTCATACCCATTGTCAGAAAGAGCAACATCTATTGCTTCTGGCTCCGAATGATAAGAAATTGTAGTGAAGTTCTCATGTTGAAGCAGATCAACACACTGTGGAATCATCTTCGCTTTTCTACCAAGCTGATGCCTTAACTTCAAGTTGGGAAAACCAGTAGAGCATCCGGTCTTCAGATGGCCTTCATCTTCCAGAAACACATCAATTTCAGTGATTTTCTCATCCACCTTCGTCAGCCAGCTGGTAACACGTTCTTGAATATTCTCCCCCTTTCGCTCAGCTTCTTGAACTCGATCATTCATACTCTGCTTTTCAACTTTCACCCTTTGAACATGTTCTTTCAGCTTTTCAACATTGCTTCTGTAGCTGCAAAGGTAACCCACATGACGTCGAACAGGTGGCACCAAGACATCCAATGCTTTCCCAAATAAGGCCGCAAGAAACTGCATTTTTTTTTTGTTTTTTTTATAGTTTTTTTGGGATTTTTCTTCTGGTATATACTAGAACAACTTTTTCTGAGGTAGGAAAAGTAAACAGAAAACAAGATGAGCCACAACGTACAGCTCCTCAACAAAGATGAACAAACAAGCGAACAAAGAAAGAAAAGGAAATGACATTCCAGCGATTGCCAAAGGTGTGATTGAGTGAAGTCACTGAGCAAGTACGTAGAGCTCAGAAGAGAAATGGAAGGAGGTGATCAAACCGACGAAGCCAGTGATTAAAGCAAGCAATACGAAGTCGTGAGGACCGTAAGGTGCGTGAAAGCATGAACATCGATCAGGTTGGGTCTTTGAAAATAGATGGATAGATATATGTATATGTGTTTGTATGTATGTATGTTACATGGAACGAATATTTTTAATTGACCTGTGTTCTCGAGTTTCTTTTTTTCTCTTTTTTCTAATTGCCGGCTTAGCTCCCACTATTCTTTGAAATTACAGTAATATGTTATTAGTTTAGTCATTCTTACAATATATGAATCAATTTTGAAATAGTTTTCCTTAATTTATTTAATTTTATGTTGAAATAAAATTACAATATAACATTCGTTTATTTATCTATGATTTATATTAGTTTTTCAAATATATTATTTGTTTAAACTGAAAATATTAAACTTTGTTACAAAAAATATTAAATTTAAAATTATTATTTAATAATGATTATAAGATTAAAAAATAAAATCTGTAAGAAAATTATTTTCGGAACTTGAAATTGAAATTTTAGAAAATAATTTTAAATTTAAAAATATTTCATAAAAATATCTTGACAGACATGTGATTTGGATTTATGGCTCATCAATGGTTAAGACATACTTTTAAGTTAAAATAACTTACAAAAGTACGTATAAATTACCTACTAACAATTACAAAAAATATCATCTACTAATAAAGTCTTTATAACCTCGTTAGAAGATGTGTTCATATTTAATATCAAATTGTGCCTCAAATAGGATAACTCAATAGGAGAATATCTATGCACAATAAAAAATAACTAGGTACTTATATCAATAATAAAATTTGAATCCACAACTAAATAGATTGTGAGCTAAATTTTTATCAACTAAAGTATTCTCACCAATAGTTTTATAATAATTTAATGCCATGTACAAGCAACCAACGGTGGAAAAAGTTTATTAAAATTTAAATCACAATTGCTATGTTAGTTCCATATGTTAAAAAAATAATAGAGGTGCAAATGAAAATGAAAACAAAAGTGGGAAGTTGATGACACGAAGACGCGGTATTTGCATCCAACAAGACTAGGATTAGGTGGTTCAATATAAAATTTTGATTGAATATATAACATGTAATTGTGATTGATTGGAACTTAATATAACTTTATATATCAGTTCATGATATATTTAAAAAATAAAGAAATTAAAAAAAATAAAAAAATTGATTTATGAGACATCTATTTTATGCCAAATGATTAGCTAATTTCGATCTATTACTTTTTTATGTTTATTTTCCAATTCCTACCATTATAAATTTACAATTGTTGCAAATTTCTACCATTATTTTTTTTAAAAAAAAGAGGAAACAAATTCAAAGCGAGAGTTGTGGCCTTTGTTTTTAAACAAAAAATACAAAAATTAATATACAAAAATTCACATAATTTTACATGATTTTGAATTAGGTTCTTGTAATCTGTTTGTTTTAATCAAGTCCTTATTATTTTATTGATTAAATGTGTTAATATCTGATTGTTAAAATCCTTTAATTTTCTCTTTTAAAAAATGAAACTAAGGACTTCTATAGGTTTATTAAAAGATTATATAATTAAGAATTAATTTCATAATTTTTATAATTCAAAATTTATATAACAAGATTATGTTTTCTAAATAACTTAATATATATATATATATATATATAAGTTATTTATAATTTTCATAAAAAATAAAAAAGGAAGTATTGTATAAAATAAAATGTTTTGGCTAAAAGTATTAAAGAAATTTTTTATAAATTTTAAAAGTGTTTTTATTTTGAAAAAGTCAACATCAATTAATAATTTTAATTTCAAGAACTAATGTATTTAATAGATCAAATTATAAAGATTTTATTAAAATAAAATAAACTACATGAACCTAATTCAACATTAAAAAAGTTAAGAAGGACTTGTAGATTAATCTTTCTAAAAAATATATAATTTAGAACGAAGCTTCCGACCATTTGAAATCCCAAAAAAGTTGAACACTGACTAGTAGATGAATTATTTCTCGGCGTGATTTTATTAACTTTGCAGAATGTGTCATTTTCTCTTGTTTCTAGATAAGGGAATAGAGTTGCTGATATGCTGGCAACCTTTGGTGCAAAGAAGATGATGCAACCTGTTTGGTTGACTGATATACCATCTTTTTTAATTGCAACCTGTTATAGTGCTGTGGTTAATTTCGATAAAGAAGGAATTGGTTGAATTTTGTCACTGTGCTTTTGTGTTGTTTTGCTGTTGCATTTTTTTTTTGGTGTTTTTGAGTGCTTAATTTGGCTTTGGCTATTAGAGTTTGTATTACTTTCTTTTGATGATTAATAAAATTGTCTTTTTTGGCTAAAAAAATAATAAATATGATGCATACAACTTTATATAATATTTTTTTAAAATATACTTCTCATATTGCCTGAGATCAGCTGAGTCAAAGAAAAATATTTGTGGAGTTGAATGATTTTCTAATGGTCTCTCACATTTCACGCAAATGGATTAGGTAAAGGGAGGATTTATTAAAAAGCAGTGGGAAGGACGCACCATCAATTCATGAAGGGGGGAAAATTGGGGGAAGAACCTCTCCACTTTTTTCTCTCCATTTCTCTCAATTTTTTCTATTTCAACTATTCATTAATTTTTTAATTTTAAAAATTCATTTAATAAAATACTATGTGTGGTTGAGATGGGAGAAGTGGAGAAAAATAAAAAAAAAAGAAATGGAGAGACTTTTGGTCAAGAAAAATCAATCATTCATTTCCACCTCTCAGTCCAACTCTCAATCTTTATTTTCATCCACATCCAGTTCAATTGAGCTTATGTTTTGGGAAATAAGAATAATTTTTTTTTTTAAATTATATAAATGACAATCTCATCTCTTCAAATACCATAATTTTATTGAAATTTCTGGAGACTTCTGTGTTAGAAAATTTTTGAAGTTAAAAAAATCATTTTACTCTTATTGAAAATAGCAAATCCAATTACATTTGCTTAAGAAATAATAATTTTTGTTATATAAATCACAAGTGTTGAAAAAGAAATCACAACTTATTAAATGTAATTTTTGTTATTGAAAAACTTCTCAAAACAAGTTCCAATCATAATTTCTACTTAAAGAATAATAATTTTTATTTTGTGAACTGCAAGAGTTGAATAGAAAATTACAATTTTTCAATTGTAGTTTTTGTAAATTTTAAAATAACAAGTCTTAATTTCAACTCTTATTTAAGAAATAATAACTTTTATTCAAAGAATTGCAATAATTGAGCAAGAAATAAAACTTATTAATAAGGGTAAAATGATCTTTTTAATTTAAAATTTATTGATATAAAAGTCTGTAAGAAATTTAATAAAATTATGACATTTTGAGAGATTAAATTTTTATTTATATAATTCAAGAGGATTTTATCATCATTTTTCCAATGTTCTTTGATCTCTAATGTTCTTTCACAAAATCTGTGTACTTTTGGAGATGACAATTACTAATATTGTTTCAAGCATATTTTTGTTATTACATATTATTTCCCAAATTCTTAAAGTCCTTATAATTGGAACTAACATTTAAATAGAAAATTTCTCAAATTTCTAACATTATAATTGAAGTAGAACTTTAATTAACAAAAATTGTTAAGTTATATATAATTTTCATAAAAAATAAAAAATGTAAGTATTGTATAAAATCAATTTTTTTATAAATTTTAAAAGTGTTTTTATTTTGAAAAAGTCAATATCGATTAATAATTTTAACTTTAAGGAACTAACGTATTTAATACTTTAAATGATAAGGGTTTTATTAAAATAAAATAAACTATATGAACTTAATTCAAAATTACAAAAAATCTAGAAGGACTTATAGATTAATCTTTCTAAAAAAAATATAATTTCGAACGAAGCTTTGGAGCATTTGAAATTCCCAAAAAAGTCGAGCACTGACTACTAGATAAATTTTTTC